CAGCAACATCTGCAAAAAAATAAAAAATAAAAAAATTCCGGCGACCAGCGGCTTTTGCGACGAACTTCGGCCACTCCCGGCGACTTCAACGAAGAACAGTCCCCGGCAAGCGACATCAACTTCCAACAGCAGCAATTGGCGATAGTCCGCGATCCACAAGGGGAGCAGCGGTCTCAAGCGGGGCAAGAGAAGAGGAAGAATTCCGGAGGCTTTTGGGCAAAACGGAGCTGGGCAGCGAGCGTTGACTGTAAAAAAAAAAAAAAAAACAAAAACAAAAACAAAAAAAAACAAAACAAAAAGAAAATTCCAGTAGACTCCGGCAAAAAGCATGGCTGGTGGTTGAGCGGTGATTCCTGGCGGTCTCCGGCGAACAACTCTAGCAGCTCCGGGTTCGTCCTACTTGAATGGAAAATTTCCGGTTGCTCTTCCTTCTCAGGTGCCCGGGAACCAACACCCTGCTTCGCAAGAGGTTGATGGTGGCGGCCTAAAAAAAACAGATGGGTTGGTTCGTCAGTCCTATCGTTTCCATTGCTGCCAGGTCCCTTTCTAGCCTTCATGTTGCAGGCAGGTCGTGCTTATTGCCTTCCCTTCCTATTCCTGTAAATAAAGATATGTATAGGGAGGGATGAAAGTAAAGATGAGGGTAGAGATAATTTACCTTGCTAAAGGAAGGCCGGATTGCTATCTTTTGTTCCGTTGATGGAAAAGCTGATGGATTGTCGTCCTATTTATAGTGTATCATTAAGGGAGGAATATGGTTGGAATTAAATTGAAACTCAGAGTGTGATTGAGCTTGTGTGGTGGGGAATTCGTTTGTTACTGAAGTTCCGCAGGAGATAAATTTGAGTCAATTATTTTTTTGTTTTTGAGTGATCGATGATCATCAGTGTGAGAAGTTTGACTTGAGTTGATGGGCTTAGAATGTTAAATGAGTCAATGGACATTAAGATTAATGTCTAACATAGCAAAAACTTCATACCGTTGGGCTCATAGAATAGCACTACATCAATTTCATCCTCAAGTAATTTTGGGCTCAAGAAAGGAATGTCCAAGTGTGTAACTGGGCTTATTGAATTAAAATGCATTGCGTCATTATCATTTGTGGTTAAAGTAATTTTGTGTTCGTGGAATATTCCAGCACATAATTCGGCTCATTTTGTGTCAATTTAATTTCTTAATTTGGGTTCGAGAAATGTCCAGACACACGTTTGGGCCCATGGAGTTTAGATGCACTACGATGAGTTTAAAGGACTGTTTGTTAAGTTTCAAGACTTCCTCGCTCCAAGCACATTAAGCGGCATGTCCCGGCAAGTCTCGAGGGGGCAATTTGTAGACACAAAAAATTTGAACACAACAAATGGACTGATAAATGGTTATTGGACCGACATCCGGATTGATTATTGGGCCAATTTAATTAATTGGATCATAGAAATTAAATTGATTTAATTAGTCAAATTAAATTTGATTTTGGGCTATTGAATTAATTGATTAGTTGGCCCAAGCCCACTTCATATTTGAATTTAAATTATAATTATAATTATAATTTAAATACAATATTAATTTTATTATATTTGAATTAGATAATTTTAATTTAATTTGAATTTGAATTAGATTATACAATAATGAACCTGGACTTGATCTTGGACAATGTTCATTTTCCTAATTAATTAATTAATTAATTAGTTAACTAAAAAGGGGAGTTGGTTGAGGAATTTTGGTTAAGCTTTTGGTATAAATAGAGCCTTCATTTCATTCCAAAATACACTTGAAAGCTGGAAGAACTTGAAGGCTTAAGGAGTTGAGAGCATTTGAAGAGCCCGAAGGCATTGAAGAACGCTTGAAGTTGAAGGCATTTTTGTTGATTTTGCAGGCAATTTGAATCCATTGCAGGTACTTTGGAGCTTTGCAGAATTGATTGTCTCGAAGATATTGAAGTCTTTTGAAGGCGTTTGAGGATCTTAAAGCAGCTTGAATCCATTGCATGTGTTTTGAAACTTTGCAGGGTTGATTATTTCTAAATTCTTGACGCTCGTTGTTGGAAGTTACGCCACTTAAATCCCGGAAGCTACGCCACTTGAATCCCGGAGGCACGCGCCAATTGAATCCCGGAGGCTACGCTAATTGAATTCCGGAGGCACTTCCATAGATAACGTCAGTGAAGAATCAGAGGACTAGACAGAGACTTTGTACCTGCATATTGAATTATAAACACGCTGTACACACGGAATTTTGTGAATTTTGTATAGTGTGTGTATAATTCAATGCAGGTACAAAGTCTCTGTCTAGTCCTCTGATTCTTCACTGACGTTATCTATGGAAGTGCCTCCGGAATTCAATTAGCGTAGCCTCCGGGATTCAATTGGCGCGTGCCTCCGGGATTCAAGTGGCGTAGCTTCCGGGATTTAAGTGGCGTAACTTCCAACAACAAGCGTCAAGAATTTAGAAATAATCAACCCTGCAAAGTTTCAAAACACATGCAATGGATTCAAGCTGCTTTAAGATCCTCAAACGCCTTCAAAAGACTTCAATATCTTCGAGACAATCAATTCTGCAAAGCTCCAAAGTACCTGCAATGGATTCAAATTGCCTGCAAAATCAACAAAAATGCCTTCAACTTCAAGCGTTCTTCAATGCCTTCGGGCTCTTCAAATGCTCTCAACTCCTTAAGCCTTCAAGTTCTTCCAGCTTTCAAGTGTATTTTGGAATGAAATGAAGGCTCTATTTATACCAAAAGCTTAACCAAAATTCCTCAACCAACTCCCCTTTAGTTAACTAATTAGGAAAATGAACCTTGCCTAAGATCAAGTCCAGGTTCATTATTGTATAATCTAATTCAAATTCAAATTAAATTATAATTATCTAATTCAAATATAATAAAATTAATATTATATTTAAATTATAATTATAATTTATAATTCAAATTCAAATATAAAATGGGCTTGGACCAGTTAATTAATTAATTCAATGGCCCAAATCAAATCTAATTGGGCTAATTAAATTAAATTAATTTCTATGATCCAATTAATTAAATTGAACCAACAATCAATCTCAACACTGGCCCAAAACCATTTTAGCAGCCCATTTGTTGGGTTCAAATTTCCTGTGTCTACAACCTCCCACATGAAGGAGATCACTACATGCTATCTGAGCACAAGGTGCTTGGCAACACATGGTCATGTTTAAAACACTAAATATAATAGGAATAAGGTTCAAATTGGCCACTGAACGTAACTTGAAAATGCAATTAGGACACTGAACGAAAAAAAAAATGCAATTAGATCATTGAACACTCCAAATGTATGCAATTTCACCAGGTTATCATCAATTTTAGCAGGTTACCTGCTTATGTGGCAGCTGAGTTGACATTTTTAATAATTTTTAAATAAATTTTAATAATTTTTTTAAAAAAATTAAAAAAAAAAAAAAAAAAAAAAGACAGGTGGCCATCGGCCACCCCGTTGTTTTTTATTTTTTTTAAAAATTTATTACATCACAAGTTATATTTTATATTAAACTAATTAAGTTCGAACTAAGTTATATTAAATTAATTAAATTCAAAGTAATAATTGAGAAATCAAATTATTTTAGTGTAGAAATTTGGTGTTTTGGTGTTAATGGGTTGGAGATTGAATAAAATTTGATGTGAGAATATTCTTTCTGATGTGACATTTGAAGAAAAAATTTGGTGTTTTGGTGTGAATTGGGTTGGAGATGCCCTAAGCCATATTCTTCAATCTTCACCACTCCACTTCGATCTACAGCATTCAACCCAACCCTACCCTAGATCTTCATTCTTCTTTACAATCACTGACTTTGAATTCCTATTCACTCCCATTTCTCTTCTTCACATCTGAACTACACTTTCACCCGCTTCCTACATTGCCATTTCACTCAACATTTTCATATTCGCTTGCGTCACTGCCGTGATTTTCCCTGCCCCTTTTTCTCACAAACCCGTCTTCTGATCTATGGGGATGAGCTCAATTTCTTGGGCTTCGATCTATTATTTATATATATATATATATATATATATATATATATACACACACCCTATACTTATATCGATAGATAGATTGAATTATATATATATATACACACACACACTGACACACACATAGAGACATAGAATTACATTGTTTATTTAGTGTTTGATGGCAACGCAATCTGGGAATGCGGTGAATTCCGTGGCGGAGGCGGCGCGGGAGTGGTGGTGCACCACCACCATCACTACTGGAAATTATGGAATTTCCGACCACCTGAAAATGATCTTAAATCAAGTCGAAAGTAAAAAGTGGTCAGAAATAGCAACAAAGATTTTTCTGGATACCAAAAGTGGTCGAAACAAGACTTTCGACTTGATTTAAGATCATTTTCAGGTGGTCGAAAATTCCATAATTTTCAACAGTGACCAGCAGCATCAAGTGGACGAGAGGGATGCCTTCACGGGGAGTTTGTGGCGTCAAATGCTATAATCGATGCCTTGTGTCATCATCTGAGGCTGCCAAGAAAGGTATCCTTACATTGTTTTCTTGAAATGTGATACTTGTTTCTTGCTTTATTTATATTGGATTTGCCAAGTGAAATATAAGGGGGGATCATATCATATTTCTAATTCTGCTATTTCTAATTGGATTATGGGGCCTGTTAGCATTTATATTACTAAAAACCAAACTTGCAAATTGATAGTGTTGCATTTACTGATGTTAGTTCATAACAGGGAAAAATGAATTAAGCCTTAAAAAGTTAGATTGATTTAATAGATTGCTCCTCATAACTCATAAGCCTTCTGCTTTTTGCAAATCCCCTTACAAAGATTTGGTCACATTGGGAACTTCACATTGCCTTATAGAGATGATTGCTACTAGTAGTGGTATGAAGCAAGGGATTTGGAAGTGAAATTATATTTTAGCTTCCAACTTTAGACTTCTTCAACTTATGTCAAGCTTTTAGTAAAATGGAATGGCAATTCCGATCCGAGCCTTATAAGCGAATTGAAGGGTGGATTAATTAGTCTTAGCCCTGCATGCCATAGAATGCATGGCAGAAGCTTGACAAAACCCTACATACATTTTGGTGCATATATAATAAAGTATATAATAATGTCTGATTTGGATTTGTAATAGTAAAATTAAATTAAAGATGGTGAAATTAGAGGGGATGGGTGGATTTGTCCACAAATTGTATAGCTGTTAGAAGAGTGGAAGCATTGATGGGTTTGGGCAAGTAGTAATCCATTCCGGCTTCAGTCACCCTCTCCATCTCCTCCTTTCCTGTATGTGCTGTTAGAGCAATAATGGGAATCCATATCCCCATAGCTTTCCCTTCCTCTTTTATGCGTTTTGTGGCTTCAAATCCATCCATTATCGGCATCTATATATCATTCAAAACATAATAATTACACACACACACATATATGTACAATAGTAATGTTGTTTAAATTAGAAGTATGTGCTCCATCTCAACTAAAAGCCTAAGCTGATAGTTGGATTGCACATTAATGGTTATATGCTCAACAGTTTACCTCACAGTCCATTAGAATATAATCAAAGGGAGGTTGATGATGGTGATCCTGTAGAGCTTTAGAGACGAGCTGCAAAGCTTCTTCACCATTATTAGAGGTGTAAGTTAGAGCACCCAGATGCGAAACCACTGTGCTGCATATTTTGCGTAGCGTTGGATTGTCTTCAACTACCAAGATTTTTTTCACTGCCAATGCTTTCTTTTCACTCTCTTCTTCATCTTCTTCCTTTTCTTTGTCAATTACCACCTGTATTTCTCCCTGCTGGGAACCTGCATGCATGCATCCAAAAACCAATTATATTACATTATATTCATGCACGCATACATGCAGTAGTAGATTGTTGAGTTTGTCTCATATAACTGAAGATCGAGATGGATATATAGCTTAATTACTTGATGCAAAGTCGGGTAGAAGCCCCAAGACGTTATGCAAACGGGAGCCTTGCAAGGGCTTGGAGATGAGGAGATGAGTTGAAGGAAGATGAAAGTTGTTATCCAAGTTGTTGTTGTCTATCCAAAGAACCCTAGAACAACCAGGTTGCAGGTCCTCGTGGAATTCAGCAACTGCTCGAATCGATTCTGGGAATAATGTGGCCCTTGTGTCTATTATTATCAACACCATGCTTGTAATGTTGCTATGGAGGGGTATGGTGTCGTCACCGTCTTCCAATTCCTCCCTTGATCTCGACGAGGATGAAGAAGAAGTGGAACGGGGGAGAAACGCCTCACGTTTGATCTTCTTCAATCTCCGGCTCAGTTGTTTGTGTCCTTTGAGAATCACACTAACCTTAATGCCACGACTTTCGAAGAATCTCCCTATGATTTTACCCCTTTCCTCGCAATGCATGAACACAACAACCTGAGACGATGATGATGAAGAAGAAAAAGAATAACCAACACTACTACTATTATTAATAATAATATTGTCCAAGAATATGTTGAACCTAAAACAAGTCCCTCTTTCCCCGATTTCCTTGTCCTCAATCCCAATCCCACCACCCATTAACCACACTAGGGACTGAGCTATCCCAAGCCCTAATCCATGCCCTAATTGATGTTCGCTAGTTTCTTTCACCTGAGCATAGTTCTCGAACACTGTCTTCCTTTTCTCCTTGGGAATCCCTTTCCCTGTATCCACCACCTTAAATATGTACTCCATCACACCATCTTTTCTTTGAAACACCAAATTATTATTTACTCCTTCTTCTTCATCACCTCCTATAGTTATTGCAACAGCATCGCAAAAGAAACAGCCTTTTAAAATGGTCATAGAAGAAATAGAAGAAGCTACTTCGGCTTTCGAAGGAGGAGGAGGAAGAGGAGAAGGTTTTCTTGCCCAAACACGAAGAGTAACGTAGCCCTCATCCGTGAACTTAATGGCGTTATACAACAAATTACACAGAACTTGTTTGAGTTTGCCTCTGTCCCCTCTCACACGCCTAAACTTTTCCACCGACTCATCACACGGATCCAGTATCACGTCTACTCCCTTCTTCATACCCAGAGGATAATACAGATCCACCACATCTTCTAGCAGTTCCTGCAAATCAAACTCTTCTTCTTCAACCTGCATCTTCCCTGCTTCTATCTTGCTAGCATCAAGAATTGAATTCAATAAACCTATATCATCCATCCAGATCAAAATTAAATTAAATTCAGACATACAAACTCATATTCCTAATCCTTATATGAGACAAATTGCTTACTGTAGAGATCATTGGTGCATGATTCCATGTGCTTGAGATTATCGTTGAGTTTAGAATGAGCAATGGCATCAGTGCGACACATCTGAATCAAACCAGTAATCCCTGCAAGAGCAGTCCGCACCTCGTGGCTTGCATTAGCCACCGCCACGCTCTTGCTCATGCTCTTCCTCTCCGCCTCTTCTGTCGCCTCCTTCTGCTTGATCAGCGCTGCTTTTACACACATCTCCCTCATCATTATTTCCCTCCTCCACCATGTCAACACCGCTACACTTATCACTGTAATACAAATGTTTATCGCCAGGAGGAGCATCCCTAGTTTCGCATTCATCTTCTCAATCCGCCCCACTTTTGCTCCCCCCTGCAACTAACCAACATCCATACATACATATATACATTCGTGTTTTTTAAGGAAACTAACTGCATATGTATATATACCTGCAGGGTAGTATGGTGTTGAATTGCAACCAACACCGAAATCAGCCAACCTGCAATCCACATTCCCGCTAAACACTGCAGTAATTTATTTAACTCCAATATAGTTATATTTTATGCCATCAATGCTTCTTATCCATTCACTTGATCAATTCATTCGAAAATAAAAAAATAAAAAAGATACTTTAATTAGTCGGGAAACCTACGAAAGTCACGGATAAATAGACAGGCCACATAGTCTTCATTGAGCGAACAAATCTCACCATGGCTAGCTTTGTCTTAGATAGGCTTATTAATCCTCGTCAAATCTATATGTGGCTGGGCGACCTGCATTGTAACACCCCTATTTTCCAATAACTAAATTATTTTATACAAATGAATTTAATTGATTAAAAATCATTATTAGGTTGTGTAAGCTAAACAAAACATGAAAAAAAGGATGCTACCCCCACGTTTAGATAACAACATTTATCCAAACACACCGGCTAAAATCAACACTACTAAAAACAACCCATAATTTATTCTATTACAATGCATTAAAATACAATTGTATAAGAATAACTTCTCATTTTTTCTAAAATGATATAAAACATCCAATGCTCAAAACTAAGAAAGGTGAAACACTCTCATGCTCCAAATGCTCATGCAACATCACATGCAAAAGAACTATATGAAGGGGACAAACTCAGCATACAACAGCCGGTAACCTTTACAGCCAAATAACACATACAACTTAACACTTGTATCTATAACCTTTGTACTAATTAGCAAGCTATTTTCGAAATATGAATAATCCATCAATACTAATCATTCAACCAATTCTAATACACCAAATATAATGTACCAACAATTCATACTTAATCATTGTACTAAAAATACCAATTATACTATTTCACATACCATATACTAATTATTTCAACAATATACCACAAATCTCATAACAATTCAAATAACTCAACAAATCACATAAATTCATAATAATTAATTGAAACATCATAATCACAAATCATACTATAATCAATAATCACATAATATTTCACACAATTATCCAATAATAAACTTAGCACATAAACACTTAGTAAAATGATTTTAATTTGGGGTAAATAAATTTTAGGTAGACAAAAATCTTACCTAAAAGTCAATAATCCACATTCAACCAAAATATGCTGACAATGGGATTGAACCCACGCCCAGACCACCAGGCTACTGCTACTCATTCGTCCTCATCTACTCAAATATTTATTTTCATAGTTGGTCGTAAAAATCATCTTTACCATCAACAGCCATAGTTATCAACTTCACGTACTGGGTACTACTTAAGAGAGAAGGGAAAATGCAGAGATGGGAAAAGGGAAGACTAAATCAAGAAAGGCTAAGATTTTATTTTATTTCTATTTATTTGGTTTTCCTTCTTCTGGCGATGAAAGGAAGAATGATATATATGGGAAGAGAAGACTATGCATGGGAAGAAGTGTAGCATTTAGGGAGAAATTGGTAAGGATGGTAATTACTAGTATATTTAGAATTAGTAATATGGTAAGTATGTAATATGGTAAGTATGTAAAACCGTACATATATATACATATATTTATTAGCTAGGATTGAGAATTATTAGTAATGATTGCTAATTTGGTAATGATTAGAAGGAATATACATATAGTATATATTGAAAAATAAACATGTAACATATATATGATTAGGAATATAGTGTATAGGCTCGATATATATAACGTTTAAAAGTAATATGGGTTTAAGATTTTTTTTTTTTTTAAATCAAGAACTTCAATTAATTGAAGAAATCAAGAATAATATATAGAGTCAGGAGGGGATCCCTCCAAATAAATCAGACTAGATCGGGCACCAACCGCTTTAGCAAGCGCATGGGGTGGTTCGCCGAATGAGGAATGTAACGAAAAACACACGAATAGGAACGATCTAACGTACTTCTATTCAATACATGTACCAAATTAAGACAGTCAGACTCAATGCAGACATCTATCCATCCAACATTTGGCTTTAATCCATATGATATGTTTTTAATTCACAAACGTATCAAAATACTAAAAAAATAATCATATATGTATTAAAAATAATCACACATCAACTTCTTTCTGTTTTTTTTTTTTTTGTTTTTTTTTTTAAATCACATTTCAACTTCTTGATATCATCAAGTTAAATCATTATAAAATAAATTCAGGAAACTAAATCAAAACATACCTGAATCTATGAAAACCAAGCACTAGGTTGGTATTAAGGAGTTGATGTGATTCTTTGTAATAGTCACCGTTCTTATTTATAGAGTTTGGTGACAAATAGGCTATACACATTAGAGTAGATATATTTCAGAAATTTTGATCAATTTTTAAAATTCAAGAGACCAAAAAACAAATACTATTAATTAATATTATTGAGAAGCAACCAAAATTGGTATTATCTGATCTCTTTGGCTAATAATTTTAGGAAGTGCTATGTGGCTTGCTATCTACCACAGTTAATGCTGAATCTCACGTTGAAGATATGCAGTTATTTCTCTTCCAAACAAATTTTTTTGTCATATATATAAATATATAATATATACTACTTAATTGGCACTAAAACATTACACTGAAATTAGAATTTTTTTAATTAACTAGCATTTTCGCACAGGAGATGCACGGTATGGATTTGTTAAAATATTTTAAGAATATTTGGATCGATATATAATTATATAAATTATTACATCGAATATTATATAATGCAATTGAAAAATTGATGAGTTGGATCGATTGTATTTTCTGATGTTATCATTGCTTGAATTCGATATCTCCAGGTCAGCTGCCTCTCTCAAAAGAGGTGCCTACAATTTAGCGAGGGGATTAGTCACCGTGTCCGACGGTGGAAACCCTGGGTATACCAAAAAAAAAAATTGTCCAATTAATAGTCAGTGTGTAGATGTACGCATCCGTAGTCAATGTGTAGATGCACGCATCTGGTGCTGAAACTTTAGAGATTTTTAATATTAGTGTTCAATGAATTATATCTAGAGATCATATTTAATTTTGAGTAAATTAATAATATTCATTACCTTTTCCAATTGGACTAATTTGTTAAGCAAAATCTTTTTTACACATTCTATACATAATTAAACATCTTTATATATACCCATTGTAATGAGGTCCCATAATTTTGGATAAAGATGTGCTACAAAATCAATCATAATTAATTTCTTTTGAATCATTCATATATATACGTATTGCAAGAACATTTTCATCTTTAATTACACAATTTTTCTTATAAATTATGGATACTAAACGATTCTATTCAATTTTCCATTTGTAAATATATATCTTTACATAACTATATTTCCAGTAACATATATACACGGATTTTTTTAAATATTTCTAGTAACTTTACATTTTATAAAATATATAACTGAGATTAATATTTTTTCCATCCCGGCTAAACATTTTTTTTTGGACATACTCAAATAAACCTTATAATTACACAATCCTTATATTCTTAGTATAAAATAACATTTGGTGTAAAAATTATTAATTTCCATCTCGATTAATATTCATTCCATTTCGGCTAAACTTTATATTTCCATCTCGTATGGCAAAACCTTTTCCATCTTTAATTACAAAATTTTCCTTATAAATTGTGGATACTAAACGATTATATTTCATTTTCCATTTTTAAATATATATCATTACATAACCATATTTCAGCAATATATATATATATATATATATATATATATATATATATATATATATATATATATATATATATATATATATATATATACAATTTTTTTTTATATTTACAGTAACTTTATATTTTATAAAATATATAACCGAGATTAATATTCTTTCTATATACTAAGTCAGTTTGGAAACATTTTTCATTTTCAGTCAATTATTAATAGTCATTTCCTATTTCAATTGGCCTAAATTTCGTGTCATTTTTATTCTCAGTCAATTATTTTTTTTAATACATATTAATTAATTAGTTAATTATTAATAACAATTTTTTAAAAAAATATTTTCACTAACTTTACATTTCATAAAATATATAACTGAGATTAATATTTCTTTCCATCTCGATAAAACGTTGAGATGCAAACTTCATTTTACATTTTTATTAATACATTTTATAACAGTAATTTTTATATTTTTAGTAACTTATTAATATTCAAGTCAATGTTGAAAAAATCGCTAGGCGCCTGGGAACCGCCTAGGGCGCCAAGAGCGCCTGGGCGGGCACCTAGGACGCCTAGGTGGCCGACCGCCTAGCGCCTAGGCGCGATTTTTGCAACACTGATTCAAGTATAAATATTCGTTTCATTTTCCTATTGGCCTAATTTCCATGAAAATTTTTATATTTCCAGTAATTTATTAATATTCAAGTATTAATATAGATTTCATTTGTATTTTTTTAATCAAGTATTAATATTTATTTCATTTTTTGCATTTAAGTCAGTTTCGAAGCATTTTTAATTTTCAGTCAATTATTAATAGTCATTTCCTATTTCAATTGGCCTAAATTTCGTGCCGTTTTTATTCTCAGTTAATAATTATTTTTGTAATATTCTTTTAAATACTATAATTTCACCTATGAACATTATGTGGATAAACGAATAAAACAAATGAATATTCAAAGTAATGTAAAATCATTAAATCTTTCAATTTAAAGAAAAGACATAAATTTAAAATTTTAAATATAAAATCTATACTCTAAAAACAAATAATCCATACTCTAAAAACAAAAAATATAAGAACATTGTTTTTTATAAGAATTTAATTACAGAAAATCACATTTAGGTCAATAAAAGCAAAAAAACACTAAATGGTACTTTCAAGCATGTACATTCAGAGATATTTTAATCTACTGAAATTCAAGTCTTTCTCAGAATCAGAAGAAGTATCTTCATCAGATGAAGAGGAACCGCTTTCCACCACCTTCTTCTGAATCTTGCCATCGACTTTTTTTTTTCCTCACTTGTTTTAAAGCTTAATCATTTTTTTTTTACGTTGGCCTTCTCGACCGCAGCTTCCGCTTCTCCCATAACTACAAAGTCATTAAAAAACAGTGAACACGGGTAGTATCCCCTACTGACTCCGTAACCATTGCATCCCACAAATAACAAAAACCATGCCTGGAAATAAAATATATAAACAATATTACAAAATTATTATTTTAAACAAAGCAATAATACGAAAAAAATACATATAATACAAAATTTTAAAAACAAAACAATAATTAAAAACTATGGAAGATCAATTATAGACAAAACTAATACGATAAAAAATACTTTTCTAAAAAAATTAAATCTTTGTTGCATTCGCTTAGCCGGAGCAACTATAGCTGGTCTGGAGTGGCATCAATCCGGACAAATCCATAATAAAGAATGTAAATGAAAAAATAATAACTTTTTTCACAGAGATAAAAATATCTAGAAGAGAAATTATACCTTTTGCTTTGAAATATGCATATTAGTTTGAGCGGCTATTGAACCACAATGATTAAATTGAAAAATCAGTGATGAGAGAGTCACCTGCAAGAGAAAAGAGGGATGCAATGTAAAATGAAGACTTATAATTTTTTTAGTCATCAACTCATTGTATTTATAGGTGAAAAATATGAAAATTATAAATTTGTAAAATTTTTCAAAAGGAAAGTGTATTTATTTATTTAAGGTATTACCATAATCAATTCATTATATTGATATTCCTAATCAAGTCATCAAGTCATTATATTAATATCCTAATTAATCTTATTTCTAATTAATTCATAATATTGATATTACTAAATTGTCCTTAAGTTTGGGCTGTAAAATGAAATAGGAGGATTTTATATATATATATATATATATATATATATATATATATATATATATATATATATATATATATATATATAATAGATCTAATGAAATCATACCTTGCTTCTAAACCTGGGGCTTCGATTCTTGGAGCTGTTCTTTCTTGGAAGCAGAGGTAACTGTTAGCCGTAGCTCATGAACGCAAAGAAGAAGAAGCAAGCTTACTTAAAAAGACTATTTTCCCTCATGAATAAAAAATTTAAAAAGGTTTAAGTTTTTCCAGCCAATTTCCACTGGTGATTTGGCCGGAATGACCAAATCTGCTAAAAAACATAGTTAAAGGACTAAATTTTTAGTTTTAAAAGTTATGGAGCGAAATTAATACATCCTCTATAGTCATAGGACCAAAAGTGTAATTTAATCATTTGTTAATTTAATAATAGTTCGTGCATCGCACAGGACACTTACTAGTAATAATAATAAGTTTGAAACTCATGTAATTGACTTCTTATATATATATATATATATATATATATATATATATATATATATATAGATATATATAGATAGATAGATAGATATAGATTATATAATCTATAATATATTATGCAATAATAATAATAATAATAATAATAATAATAATAATAATAATAATAAGAGATATTTTATCCCCAATTACATTGTTTGTACTTTACACAGTATTCCTACTTATTATATAATCTATACAATAATATATTACGCAATATTTTATAAGCATAATTAAATAATTTGACCAATATAATAAATTTTTACCATAATTAAATAATTTGACTAGCTAGTAATAAGTTTAGGCGGAAAAATGGTAGGAGTAGGGTTTTACCGTTTTAGTTTTAATTATATATAGATATAGATTCTAAATATGAATACAAAAGAGAATAAAAAAACCTGAATTTATTTAATTCATGCATGAAAAATAATAACAATAACAATAACAATAACAATAATAATAATAATAATAATAATAATAATAATAATAATAATAATAATAATAATTGGATTAGAGGCCGTCTTTCTTAAACCCTAAACCCTATCATAGACATTTAGTTTAGATATAATAATAATAATAATCTAGGTATATACACATTGTGTTTTAATACTTACCATATTACTACTTCTAAATATACTAACCATATATACACATTGTGTTTTAATACTTACCATATATACACATTATAGTACATGTCAAATCCGATGAACATTAAAGAATTGATGATTTCTTTTCCCTATTTCTTATATGAATGAATTAGAGTACACATATTCAAAAGGCTTTATAAACAGATACTACATTGTAATAGAGCCAGTAGCATTCAAAAAAAAATATTCAAAAGGCTTTATGCGATATGTTTTTTTTTTTTTTTTTTTTTTTTTGAAAATCAAGAACTTCAATTAATTGAAGAAATCAAGAATAGAGTCAGGAGGGGATTCCTCCAAATACATTAGACTAGATCGGGCACCAATCGCTTTAGCAAGCGCATGGGCTGGTTCGCCAAATGAGGAATGTATCGAAAACACACGAATAGGAACGATATGATCTAACGTACTTCTATTCAATGCATGTACTAAATTAAGACACTCGGACTCAATGTAGATATCCATCCAACATATGTTTGGCTTTAGTCCATGCGATATGTTTTTAATTCACAAACGTATCAAAATACTAAAAAAATAATTATAAATGTATTAATTATTAAAAATAATCACACATCAACTTTTTTTTTTTTTTTTTTAATCACATTTCAACTTCTTGATATCATCAAGTTAAATCATTATAAAATAAATTTAGAAAACTAAGTCAAAACATACCTGAATCTATGAAAACCAAGCACTAGGTTGATATTAAGGAGTTGATGTGATTATTTGTAATAGTCACCGTTCTTATTTATAGAGTTTGGTGACAAATAGTCTATACACATTAGAGTAGATATATTTCAGAAATTTTGATCAATTTTTAAAATTCAAGAGACCAAAAAACAAATACTATTAATTAATATTATTGAGAAGCAACCAAAATTGGTATTATCTGATCTCTTTGGCTAATAATTTTAGGAAGTGCTATGTGGCTTGCTATCTACCACAGTTAATGCTGAATCTCACGTTGAAGATATGCAGTTATTTCTCTTCCAGACAAATTTTTTGTCATATATATATATATAAAATATATACTACTTAATTGGCACTAAAACATTACACTGAAATAAGAATTTTTTTAATTAACTAGCATTTTCGCACAGGAGATGCACGGTATGGATTTGTTAAAATATTTTAAGAATATTTGGATCGATATATAATTATATAAATTATTACATTGAATATTATATAATGCAATTGAAAAATTGATGAGTGGGATCGATTGTATTTTCTGATGTTATCATTGCTTGAATTTGATATCTCCAGCCAGCTGTCTCACTCAAAAGAGGTGCCTACAATTTAGCGAGGGGATTAGTCACTGTGTCCGACGGTGGAAACCCTGGGTAACCCAAAAAAAAAAAATTGTCCAATTAATAGTCAATGTGTAGATGTACGCATCCGTAGTCAATGTGTAGATGCACGCATCTGGTGCTGAAACTTTAGATATTTTAAATATCAGTGTTCAATGAATTATATCTAGAGATCATATTTAATTTTGATTAAATTAATAATATTCATTACCTTTTCCAATTGGTCTAATTTGTTTTCCATCTATAAGCAAAATCTTTTTTACACATTCTATACATAATTACACATCTTTATATATACCCATAGTAATGAGGTCCCATAATTTTGGATAAAGATGTGCTACAAAATCAATCGTAATTAATTTCTTTTGAATTATTCATACGTATTGCTAGAACATTTCCATCTTTAATTACACAATTTTCCTTATAAATTGTGGATACTAAACGATTCTATTCAATTTTCCATTTGTAAATATATATCTTTACATAACTATATTTCCAGTAACATATATATACGGATTTTTTAAAATATTTCTAATAATTTTACATTTTATAAAATATATAACCGAGATTTATATTTTTTCCATCTTGGCTACACCTTTTTTTTTTAATACTCAGTTAAACCTTTTAATTACATAATCCTTATATTCTTAGTATAAAATAACATTTGGTGTAAAAATTATTAATTTCCATCTCGATTAATATTCATTCCATTTAGGCTAAACCTTATATTATATACTAGTTGTATATAATATCTATATATAAATAATGGATGGTGTTACAGAAATGCCCCTAAGTTTTGGGGGGTTGGCTAGGAGGATTTTACTTTAAATTATATATAGAATAAAGATATAGATTTGATGAAATGATGAACCTGGACGTAATGGTGTCCCAATACATTCCTTAATTTAATTAAAATAATTAAATTAAATTAGAAATTATCCAAAGTGATAGAGTTGGTTAGAGATTTCTTTTCTACACTCACCACTATAAATAGTGGTTTCATTTTCAAGAATGGAGCTCTAGAGATCTGCATATCGAAGCTCTGTCGGAATCTCGCCAGGATATCATCTAGAACACGTCCGCCCAGTGCGTTACTGCGTTGCGTATATTGCGCTGATCAACACGCCATTTGAACACCAGGAGCCCTTCTTTGACGATCAAACAACACCAGGAGCCCTCCTTTGAAGATCAAACAACATATTAGCCCTTCATTCAAGAACAAACTACTTACTCCGGAGGCCCTTCAGCAAGGAACTACTTCCAGTTCAGAATATTCTGAGCTCGACATACTCTGAGCTCGGCACACTCTGAGCTCGGCACACTCTAAGCTCGTCAGACTCTGAGCTCGGCACACTCCCAGCTCGGCACACTCCGAATTCAGTACACTTCTAGTAAACTAGTAGAGAATCAGAGGACTCCTATACATAAATTGTACCCCTTCTCGTTTGATACATACTACTTATGTAACCAACATACTTTGAATTTTGAATATATACAATTTGAGTTTTTCGTGTTTACCAATATATATTTAATCTAATCATCTGTTGTCAATTTAATGAATAATTAATGTATGCCAATTCATGATGAATATATGCCTACACTATGCTGGTTTTATCTAATTATTACTACATCAACTAGTAATATCTCAGTCGTTATATCGTGGATCGCGGTGTATGTGCACCGCGGTCAAAATGACGCTGTTTCTTTAAGTAAAGAAACGCTGCATTAGTTTTAACGGAGCGCGCATTTTGTATATGTTAATTACCAATTGACACTGCAATATATCTAAACCAACACTGCCTCACGTATTATTTTATATTATCAAATGAAACTGCAGTTATATCAAAATGATACTATAGTTGTGGTGAAATGAAACTGCAGTGTATATAAAATGAAACTGAATAATATTTCACATATTTGAGTGTATATTGTACAATGAAGCTGTAATTATATCAAAATGATCATGTAGTTGTATTTTAATAAACTATAGTCTATATAAAATAAAATTAAATAACATTTTCACATATTTGAGTCTATAAATATCGAATGAAACTGTAGTTATATTGAAATCAAACTGTAGTTGTGTTGAACCGAAATTGCAGTGTATACAAAATGAAACTGAATAATAGAGTTACTTTTTGTGGAAAGGTGCGGAATGACGTGAAACCGATGCCATTTCTTTTCATTAAACAAAACGATGTCGTTTTGATGCACGGTGCATAATTGATTATGCACCGCGGTGCACGATATAATTTGCCTAAATATCTATCTAATAAATATATTTAAGAAATTAGATAGATAATAATTAAATAGGACTAAACTTGTTTAACAAGAATTTAGTTTACTATTAAGTAAGTTTCCTAATCCTATTTTGAATATAAGAAAGATTCCTAAGAGTTTATAAATAAATCCCATATGACAATAATCTCACATATATTCACAAACCCTCGCCCCATGACTATGGCTCGGAGGTATCAGCATTCTGACTCCAGCGCTTCAGGTGAGGAAGGTGAAATTCGTGGCAGACATCGCTCTAGTGATGAAGAAGAAGCTGAAAGAGAAAAAAGGCAGCGAAGATAAGCAGCGCAGCCCTAGTTCTGATAGCGCTAGGGATAGAGATTATGAGCGGCGGAGTGGACGCGAAGGGGATAATAAAGACGGGAATGGGCACCGGAGGAGACAAGATGATGATGATAGGAGGGCTCGGAAGCACCGGAGGGAGCGTGAAGAGTATTATAACAATGTGGATTCAAAGCAAGAAGGAAATATGATTACACAGAGTGCCAATTTGGGAAGAATTGGAGGAGGAGTTTATATTCCTCCTTACAGAAGAAGACACTACCTCTTCTTCTCGCATATTTATCAGGAATCTCTTCGAGGAACTGTCGGAACACCTTGGAATCCGCTTGTTGAATGATCGTCTTAATGACCCAAAAATGCAAGAATCGTTTGACTCAATATTTCTAAAGGATAATCCCAAAAATACTAGGTTTATTTTGCAATCAATTTCTTCACAGCAATTGGTCTGGGTGGGATTACAGAAAATCTCAGGGCATATTTGAGAAATCTGCAGCATGCAACAACAAAAATCAGATGCATCATACAGTTCCAGCTCTGAGGAGGATACACGAAGGAGACATTGAGTGATGTATCCAAATGTATCTTGAAGGTATCTCAAGATAGGGCGTCTTATTAGTCTGTTTCATATACTATGCAATAATTGTTGGGTATAATGCTACTTGTGTTGTTTAGTGGTAAATGAAATCACTCATTCTTAAAATTTGATCTCTTCAACAAATGAGTAAACATTAGAGATTTAGAGCAACCACGTGTGGTTTTTTTTAACAAACAAACACTTGTCCAATAATCATTCCATTCTTTCTAGACTTTAGTATGCGGCTTTTGCGAATTCCAAATCTTTCATGTTTTGCATAATTAGTATAACACAAGTGAGACCCTTCCAGGTATATATATAGTTAGTTGGAGAAGAATTGAAGTGTTTTATACCGTAATGAATTGTGGAGGATCATCAAGACTAGATGAACCCAACACTATTTCTCTCTGTAGCTTTGTGGTTAACTTGTGGCAAGCACATAACTGAGAAATCAGAAAACAAAGAAATGAGATTTCAAAAGAAAGAAAATAATAATAATAATACCAGCATCTATGAAACCCCCTGCACTACAAGAAAAATGCACATAGACAACCCCTACCCCTATCATACCGCCCTTAACCCCTACACATCATACCGCACCATTATGAACACCACACTGCACCGCGCAGGGCCGTTCTAGGCCATGTCGAACCGCGACCGCACAGGGCCCCCATAAAAATATCATACATATAATCTATTGTTTTTTATACTTGATAATTATTATTATTTTTTTGAATTCATAGATTGGTCTTAATTGTAATATAATTGAAAATAAAACTTTAATGAATTGACTTTGAAATTTTGGTGAATAATTTTACATTTAAATATGAACGAAAATAGAACTATTAAATTAACATTTGAATTGTATTCTTTCTTTGTTAAATTATAGGTAAAAGATAAGGTGTAACATTTTAGTACACGAGAGTTGGTGTGGTTTGGTGGATTTAGCTTTGTTTGTTATGTTAAAGGTATTGCGTTCTATCCTTCATGACAGCATTCTTAACCTATTTTATACAATTGTTGTCTTGGTTCTCAAAGACAACACATAAGCAAACTGGTAATATACTAGGTGTTGCGCTTGAGTACATAAGTGTTGGTGTGGCTTGGTGGGTTTAGCTTAGTTTATTATGTTAGAGGCATCAAGTTCTATTCTTCCTGAGCGGAATTCTTCAACTATTTTCTAAAATTGTTGTCTTGGTTTTCACAAACAACACAGAAGCAACCCAGTTATATACCTTATGTTGCACCTTCAAACATAGGAATTTGTGTTGCTGTGTTGCTTAGTTGGTTAGATTGTTTATTTGTTAAGTTTGAGGTCATAGGTTTGACTCTTGTTGTTAACATCCTTGTTTTTATTTTATATACCTGTTAAATAATGTTGTTAACAAGATTTTGTTCTCTAAGCCCCATTTCTCTGATTGTCCCATTCAGCTTTCCAGCAATATAATCTAGTTTTTTTAAGAAAGGAAAATGAAAATAGAGCATCAGAAAGATAGTTTTAGTTAGAAGGGGTTTTACTCTACTCTTTTTAAAGAATGAAATAAATTGTGTAGAGAATGGAGCAACTGGATGGTGTCTCAATAAGTGCAGATAGATAGATGTTCATCAAGAACTAACATTCCCCATCCAACATAGTAGTTCAGACACAAACTTGGTACAGTACAATGATGTATGTAAGTTGTTTTACCTAATTTTATAAAACCATTTCATTTTCAACTTCGAATTGTATGAGTAGTGATATTTGTGGGTTTTAATATTTTATATAAGAATGAATTGGAAGGCAATAATAAGTTAAGTTCATGAGGCATACTGCATACATCTGAAAATTTGTGAACTCAACATTTATGTTAAAGATGGACTTAAAAACCAATCTATGTTTTAGGAACAAAAAACAAAGACTGAACAACAGTGGGTGAATTACACAAAGTTAGTTGGGTAATACATAGGTACATACATACACATGTACACACACACTTCAATTTTTCTATTGAAGTATGATTTTCTATATATTGTATTCTTGTGAACAATTTGTGCATATCTTCTTCCCTTTTTTTATTCTCACTGTTAGTTGTGAAGACTGAAAAGGCCAGTTGGAACTCTTTTTCACTTTTTTGTTTTTCCTTCTTTTCTACGTAACTTGACAATTTTTACCCCACTAAATAAAAAAAAATTTCAATTTTTACGTGGGGGCATTTCAATAATTAAAATCAAATGGGTTAAACTGACCCCACCGGTAATAGATCAGAGTATATTCATCCCAGGCCAGCTCACTAGAATGTTTCCCTTCTTAGCCTCTTATTTTAAAATTATTTAGTTCTAAAAGCATTTCAATAACTTTAATATGACTTGTTAGGAACCTGGCTCTCGTATAACAAACTTAAGAATTAGCACAAATAAAGAAATACTTGATCATTGTCTTCAGACGTGTGAAACACACTGTCCTATTAATTTTCAATTTTCTTACTAAGCAACAAAGGTAATCAAACCAGAATTTTTGAGATACAAAATGATGTCAAATTTCTCAAGTTATTTAATTTTATGAGTAATTCACCAAGGAATAACTTGAGATTTTTAGTATGTAAAATTTTTTCAAATGCAACAGTCAATAATCGTTTTTAGAAGTTACAAAAGTTTTTAGAATTTTCATAACTGAGTCTTAGGTTCATCATTTATTATTCTGATTTTTAAGAAGACAGGGGAGGTGATGGGTATATATATAATATAATTTTCATATATTGTCAGGATATACGATTCTTGATTAAGTTACTACAGTGCTTACGAAAGAATTTTACGTACTAAAAACCTAAATTCCCTTCTAACCAGAATATATAAAGCCAAGTATTTTCCTTCTTGTACTTTCTTTGAGACACGTATTGGAAGTAATCCGTCCTTTATTTGGAGAAGCATTTTGGAAGTGCAGCCCATCATCAACAGAACTACAGTTAGAGAGTTGGTAATGGCTCCTCCATTGAGGTCTGGAAGGACCCCTGGTAATGGCTCCACCTTGTTGAATTGGCTTGAGTCAAACTTTAATGTTCTCACTGATAATCAACTCTGTCTTCTCATATCTATCTTCCTGGCAGGTAATTATCAATGGGGCTCAATCTTACATTAATGAATGGCAGCAGGCCAACTTTGGTGAAGAACATTCTATTAATAGTCCTGGTTTTGCTATACATTGGTCCAGACCACCTATAGGATGGCTGAAAATGAACATTGATGCAGCATTGGATCCTAACAATTCTAAGATGGGGTTTGGTTTCGTCCTAAGGGATTCAATTGGAGAGTTTAAAGCAACAGTCCAACTCCCCTATCACAGTTTGTGCAGACCAGACGAAGCATAAGTAATGGCAGTGCGTGAAGCCTTGAAGTGGTTAAAAGCTCAGAATATGGACTTTGTCCAACTGGAGAGTGATTGCATAAAAGTTGTTAATAGCATGCAGGGTAGTTCTACTACCACTTACTTTGATCTTATTACGCAAGACATTAGAGACATAGCTAGAGAGTTTTGTAACCTCAGCTTTTTGTTTGTTAAATGATCTGCGAATAGGGTAGCCCATTTGTCAGCTAGGGAGACCTTATCTAAGACTGATCGAGTGGATTGTTTTTCGGTCTCTTTTCCTTTTGTTGTTGATGCTTTGGAGCTTGACTCCCGTTAATCTAATTTCATTGTTTCTTCTCAAACAAAAAAAAAATTCCAAGTTACTCCCATGGTTAATTTTTCATAAAAATAACTGAGAAATTTGATATCTTCTTGTATTTCAAAAGTTATGGTTTGGTTATCATTATGTTTAGTTAGGAAATCAGAAACTTTTAGGATAGTATGTTTTACATGTTTGAAGACAATGATTAAGTGTTCTCTTGTTTGTACTGAGTCACATGTTCCTTATACGAGACTCAGGTTACTAACAAGTCATACGAAGATTATTGAATTGCTTTAGGAATTGAAGAATCTTGAAATAGAATGCTAGGAAGTTAAAAATAATGTTGCAAAAGTGATTTCAATATAAGAAAGTGAATAAAATGTGAATTTTCTATTTTACCCTTAAAATTTTAAATATTTTTTAATTTTTTCGTCAGTTTTAACAGTCAGGGACCAAATGCGCCACTTCGCTCATAACTGAGGGACTAAAAATGAATACGGTCATAACTCAGGGACTGAGTCGTCACTACTATTATAACTCAGGGACCAAACTCGTCATTTTCCCACTTTTATATATATTCAAACAAGACACAAGTTGGGCAGTCGTGCTAGAACTCTTCATGCATGAGAAAAAAGAGATTTTTTTCCCAAAATGGTTC